ATGAATGCAGTGTTCACTGGAGAGGAACACTCTCTGCTCTGCCTCACAATGTGCTTGAACAGAAAAATAGCTGCTGCAGGATTGTGAAGTTTTCATTTCCCGCAGAGATTGGCAATTTACTGCCACTTAGTCCTGAATTGTGATCACTGTTGTGCTGTTGACCTGTGCCCGACAGGACTCAAGAATAGTAGCCTTGAGTCTACTATTCAAACTAATTTCACACAAGACCCAAAGAGTTATTAAGAAAGCAGTTATTCCATCAGTCTAGGCTGGATTGAACAAGACGAACATAGGAAAGTGCACATTATTCAACCTTCAAATAGTGTTTTATTGGGAAAGCTATATTATGTATTTATTTACGATTTCAAGCAACAAATGCTTAGTTGCACATGGACCTAGGCTGTAGTGTTAAAAGCAGCTTTGAACTGTAATATGTCAATTACCCTCTAATACACAGATCAGCTCTTTCTTTGCATATCACATTCTAACAGCAATGGCAACCGAGTCCTTAAGCAGCATTATTTTATTCTGTGTGGTGTGTGTGTGTGTGTGGGGGGGGGGGGGGGGGGATGAACTGAAACGTGATGGAATTAACGCTGCGATGAATTAAGGGACATTTGCTCATATTCTGGTAACTGTAAAATAGATCCAAACAATATATACCCCAAGTGCTGGAATATGTGTGGTTAAGAATGATGGTCACAGTGCAGACTGGGGCTGAGAGAGTTATTTGATGATCAGAGTCACGTCTGTTTGGGTGTCTGTCTGTTTGGGGGGTGGGGTGTGTGTGTGTGTGGGGGGGGGGTATGGGGTGGGTGGGTTGGGGGATGAAGATGCAATGGGGAGCCCCCCTGTACCTTATTATAAAGTGTCGCCTTTTCTCAGAGATGCTACAGAGAGGACAGTGAGTCAGGGAGGGAGGGAGGGAGTGAATGAATGAATTGAATGAATGAACGAGTGGGTGTCTTTGCTGCTGTTATAACGGGTGGATCCAGGAGAGAGAGGGAGAGAGATCTTGCACATTATTGCTGTGGAGCAAACAGACTCGCTGCTTCTTGTTGTTGTTGTTGTTGTGTGTGCACTGACTGACTGACTGACTGACTGGACAGGACTGACAGACTGACTTGCGCCAGTGCTGCAGTTGTTTCTTGCTGCCCTTTTTTTTTCCACCTGCGGGGAGAATAAACGCCTTTGCAGAAATGGTGTTACGAATGAACACACAGACACAGACACACAGACACAGACACACTCACACACACACACACACACACTCACACACAGGGGGAGGGGTGGGGGGGGGGAACGGACTCGAGTGTGTGGTCTCTGCCTTGAACTGCAACTTCCAACTCCAGTGACAGACCAGAACAGCCCTGAAAAAAAAACACTGTGCAAGTGCAATAATATTACGGTACAGTGAAGTAGTCATTTGTGGCAGATTTAACACCTGTCCTCCCTCCCCCCCCCATCCCCACCACCCCCACCCACCCACCCACCCACCCCCCACCCATCCCTGGGCTGCCTTTGGGAAGGAAGCTGCTAACTCAAGCTTTTTTTAAAAAAAAAACCTATAACAAGGGGTGGGTGGGTGGGGAAAACAGAACGACTGTCTGGACTCCGGTGTGTAGGGTGGGAGGGTTAACTTAACAGGTGTTTTGTTGGACTGGTGTTCTGGAGAGAGACAGAGACAAGAGACAGAGGACAAACCCAAACCGTTTCACGCGCAATCGTGGCACTGGTACAATTTGCGCAGTCAGTCGCCCACCGAATGAGTGCATCTGCTCCCGAATCTATTCCAGAGCTGAGCAGGACCGAGCAAGTGGCTTTACACACACACACACACACACACACACACATGCATACATATGTATACATATATATATACTTATAAGGCAAACAAAAAAAGGAAAACCATGACAACTCGTGCTCAGTCTCCACTAAAGAACAATCCTGAAGCCTGACACGCGTTGGTAACTGTGGAGTGACAGAGAGGAGAGAGGAGAGAGGAGAGAGGATGGGTCCTGCAACAGATTAATCGCTTCTCCACTCCCCCCCACACCACACCACCACCCCACTCCCCCCCCCCCCCCACCCACCCACCCACCCACCACCACCACCACCACCACCGAGCTGTTCTTTTACCTTGTCTTGAATTATTTGTGCCACTTGGGGATGCTGATCCAGGAATCCGTGGCTCTTTCGGGAGATTGATCCATCCACAGATTAATCGGAATCTTTTTTTGCATTTTTTTTATATATATATATATTATTATTATTTTTGATTCTCTTAGATATCAATCCTTTCTGTGTGTGTGTGTGTGTGTGTGAGAGAGTGTGAGTGAGTGTGTGTGTGCTTGGCTTGTTACCATGGCTGCTGCTATAGCGAGCTCCCTGATCAGACAGAAAAGACAAGCCAGAGAAAACAGAGACAAAGGAGTCCCTTCCAAACGCATCAGCAGCCCCAGCAAAGGCAAAGGGTCTGTCTGTGAGAAACACCTCCTGGCAGTTTTCTCCAAAGTCCGGATCTTTGGCTTGAAGAAACGACGGAGAAGGAGACCAGGTTTGCCCATTTTCCCTATCCTTCCAACTAAATTGCATTTCGTTAATCTTTTTTTTTTCTCTCTCTCTCTCTCTCTCTCTCACTTGCTCCATTTTGAAACCCTGTGACTTAACTGTTATGCACCAGGTTCTGATTGTCATTGCAGGTACGGTATGGTTTTTTGTTTTTTAAAAAAAAATTAATTTTTACAAGTTTTGGAGATTTTATTTTATTATTCTTGTTATTTGCACAACCACTGTCAATTGAATGAATAGGCATCTGTTGTGATATTCATCCTATATATATATATGTGTGTGTGTGTGTGTGTGTGTGTGTGTGTATAGTACGTGGTGCTGTGCATATGAAAGAGAATTCAATTGAGTATGAATGCTCACTGGCAAGATTGCAACTAATAATAATATGTGACATACATAAGTGCAAATCTCAGCCTGGTTTGAATATTCTTAAGCATGGTGATAGGTTTATACATGTAAATTTTGCTCACAAAATATACAGTCGATTCACTTTACAGTATATTCCGTGAAGCGCTTTGAGGTGTCTCAACGTTAAAAGGCGCTATGTCAAATGCAAGGATTATTATTATTATTGTGTCAGACACCTGGCCGATCAACAACAAAAAAAGTCCTTGCATTTTATATAGCGCCAGTAGCTTTAATATGTCTTTTATAAATCATAGACAGTTGCTGATAAGTGTAGTGACTGTGCATTTGTAGTATTATTGTTAGACGTATGCGGAGCAGGTTTTGATAGCAAGCAAAATAAAGAGTAAGATCCTCCCAAGTTAACCACAAGTGATTTGAATAAGTTATTACATGTGATGATGCAAAATCTCCTTATCAGAGTGTGCTTTTGTTATGATCTGAGGATACAGCTTCACATTGTATAGGAAAATAGTGATAAACATTGACTCAATTGAAATGTAATTGAGAGGGCAAAGGAACTTGGTAGAAAACATGGAGGACAAATACCTGGACACATTCCTTAGTCTAACTGGAAAATTAAAGGAGGAATGAGATTGAAGGAAAGAAAACCAAACAGAAGACAAAGTAAAGAAACTTAACAAGGGCGTGCTTGCATTGCGATCTGTCTGATGCCTCTCAATATAACTATATACAGACTGAGTTTATACACTGGTAACTGCATCTGTACTGCGTGCAGAATTTTTATCTACAAAACGTGATACCAATGTGTTTTTAAAAAATTGCAAATCTCACATGATTTGTCAAAGCACCTATCTAACCTTTGTAAAGAATGTCCTGCGGCTGAAACATTTGCTGACTGTCTTTTTTTCAGCTTTTATACAGCACACATATCGTCAAGTGCATAACCTGTTCCTATATTACTTAATTACAAAAGCTGATCATAATAATGTTCAGAAAGCTGCATAGTTCTTAATTGCGCACATTCTCTTAATAAATTATGAAATCAAAGCCTTAAATACCTTTAGGGGCAGCACCTAGAAATGTCTCAACTGCCCTTTTAATTCTGCTTTTTTATGTACAACTCTGTATTATCCTATTTTCTGTTTAAATTGAAATAGTAGCTAAACAATTGTTTTACTCTACTAAAAGTGTAGAAATATATTTTGCATTCTTTATGATAAATGCATTTTGAGGTAGGGGTAATTATTGTGAATGCTGTGAGTGTATTGAATCACCCATCACTTGATCTTACCATGCTTCCACTAAATCCCTTTAATGTTTACAAAAAAAAGTGAATATCCAATTTGAAGTGTTTACAGCTTTTTAAACTGGGGATTGGGTTCACCAAAATTAGATTTATGTGGGTGGAACAGGTTCAACACTGCAGGAACCCTAATTGTTTATATAGGGCAGTTCAGTTTTTGTCAGGAAAATTATTTAAATGGGTGCAATTTGCCTCAATTTATACTGTGATAAGCACATCCACCTACAAGTTGGAGACATGGTATGGAGTGTGGTGTTCCATATACGCCTGTAAGGTATATTTATTTTGAGAGTAGACTGTGTTGTAATGTGGCACACATTCTAATAGAAGAACATTTGTAAATCATATATGATTTATTGCCCCTTTTGTGAAGGATTAAGTCTTGTTTTATGTTTCCAAGATAATGTGGTAGCAGGAAATGTTAAGCAGACCCTCTTTTTTTCCCAGAGGAGTCATCTGTTAATATATTTATTAGGTTCCTCATGGATTTCAGGCTGAAAAATATGTCACATTTTTGAGTCTGGCACAAGACTTAAAAATAAAAGGACCAGGAGTTATACTGTTGGTAAACAGTGTAGGGGTTTCACAGCAGGTGTGTGGGGAACAATGAGTCGCTGAGTCGCTAATGTCAATTTAACATTTCAGACATCTGGACGTCAAATCAACAATCCCAAGACCCTCGAGCCACAAAAATGAACATATTGCTCTGCTCCTCTTCTTCAGGCATAACTAATGGAAATTTTAATTTCTCTTCCAGAGCCTCAGCTTAAAGGCATAGTAACGAAGTTATACAGCAGACAAGGTTACCATTTGCAACTGCAACCAGATGGCACCATTGATGGAACAAAGGAGGAGGGCAGTAGTTACAGTAAGTATCCTTTCAGAGTACTTCATAGATAGGCTGCTACCCTGAATGGAATGAGAAAATGTTTTCACAACAGTTTGCTTATCTTTAAAACATATTTTGCACAAATGTCTAAAGTTAAACATGAATGGAATAACAAAATATATGGTGCAATTCAGAGCAGCAGGATAATGACAACAGGGTAGTCCACATGATGAATATTTAAAATATTTTACTTCTGTAGAATTGTGACCTATATTTAATAATAATAATGTCATAATAGAAAACTACCCTTAGCTGAAATAAGATTGACTGAAGTGCTTTGATACTCCCTGCTGATGTGAAGGGAGTAATATAAATGTAGATTATTGTTTTTGCGTTGGAGGGTAATTGATGCTCAGCTGATTGTATGCGCAGTGATTGTATTATCAGTAGTCATCTGTGAAACAAGAGTGATTTCCAAGTTTTGGTTTTGCTTCCCACCAAACATACAAAAGCTTCACATCACAAATCATATAACATAAAAGGAAATGTGATCAGGGTACTGAAAGGGGATAAAACACCAGATTCCCTTACTAACCCCCCCAGTCACTTTTTTTCTTAAAATAATAAGATAAGCAAAAGCACAGCATTTCTTAGCTTTCAGAATATATATATTGTTAGGTGGCATTGAACACATTTTACAGTTGCGTTAACATAGGCAGTGCCAGTTTATGTCGTTCATGATGACAGTGTTAATGCTATTGTAGAAAACGTGTTCCCTTATGTTTTAGAGTGTCTATGTATTTCAGATTTCTAATTGTCAAAATATGAAATTAATAGGTGTAAATAGAATAGGTTGTGAAGGTTGCATGATTCACCATGTATGTGGTCGAGAATTTTAGTAACTCTGCAGTTGTAATTATTGCCACTGCGGAGCACATCTTCATGGGTAGACAACTCTTGTCTTCTTGATGAGGCGCTGTCAGAAATTATGAGAGATTCGGATAAAAAAGGCCCTTTGGCCCATTTGGTCTCATCCTTCCAGAATACTAAATAATCCAGAGGGCCTGTGCTTTTTTATCAACTAATTTATTGCATTGCTAACCATTATGTGTAAACTTATTGTTTATATATTCTAGGAAATAACAATTACCTTCCATAGCGCACAGTAACTTTAAATCAAAGAATAAATAGTAAGGCTAAAATGTCGCTCAGCTGATCTATGGTACTTCCTTTTTAGGTCATTTAGATTCTCCATGCTTATATAATAACCATATAGTATTTTTCCCATGATATTGTGGAAAAGGTGAACAAGGAAAATATCTACAAATTCCTTTTGCTGTGAAACAAACCTAAATTAGGTAAGAAATATTATTGCCATGGTGATGCACATCTCAGAGTCGACTAACTCTTCTCCTTGATTTTCCCATATTTTTAATCAGATAAGATTCAGCCGCCCACACACTCGGAGTAGAGTGCAGTTGGTACCAGTGAACTGAAACATTCTCTTTATACGGGTGCAGTAAATTCATTAAAAAGCAGAAGAACCTTTTTTTTCCTTTGGTCTGCTTCCTGTCAAAATGCTTGAAGACAAGTGTGACTAAGAGCGTCATCCTGTCTTAGAATCTGAATAGAATAGCAGGGTTATACATGGTGCACTTCAGTGCTGTGAGTTTCCTCATGCTAGCCACAAATTTGCTATGTAACACCTTGATCACTGGCGTAAGCTTTGGTCTGCTAACTGTTTACCAGTGGTGGTCTACTTTATTAACGTTTGTCAGCTACAATATACTTGCAGCCACCATAATTTTATTTGCTTCGGTTGTCACTGTTATCATAGAATCATAGAATCGTACAAAAAGAGGCCATTTGGCCCATCGAGTCTGTGCTGGCTCTTTGAAAAGAGCATTGTAACGTCAATCCTACTCCCCAGCCCTTTCCCCATAACCCTGCAGACCCGTCCTCCTCAAATACCCGTCCACCGCGTTTTTAAAAGTTGTTATCGAATCGGCCTCCACCACCCTTTCAGGCAATGAGTTCCAGATTCGAACAACTCGCTGCATGAAGAAATTTCTTCTCACCTCCCCTCTGCTTCTTTTAGGGACTATTTTAAATCTGTGACCTCGAGTCACCGACACACCCACCAGTGGAAACAGTTTTTCTCTTTCTAACCTATCAAATCCCCTCATGATTTTGAAGACCTCTATTAGGTCTCCTTGTAACCTTCTCTGCTCCAATGACAATAATCCCAGCCTCTCTAGCCTTTCCTCATAATCAAGGTCCCACATTCCTGGTACCATTCTTGTAAATTTTTTAAAATATTTTTCACTTAGTGCAAAAGACCAGATTCTTCAGACAGTTCATTTCAGTTAGTACATTGGCACTACAAAGAAGCTGGTAAATTGCACTTCTTGCAAATACAGAACTCTGATTACCTAGCAGTAAGTAGGAATCCAGTTGTTAGTCGATTGTTGGATCGCTTTTCCGGGGTGGTAATTCCTTCAAAATAAATAAAAATAATTTGGTCACTTGAATCCACGACTCTTTGTGGGACACTGCTGTGTGCTATTGGCTGCCCTGTTTCACCCACAAAATATACAGTCAATTCACATTACAGTATATTCAGTAAAGCGCTTTGAGAAGCGCTACCAACAGCACTTTACCGATGGTGCTGGCAGTTAGTACGATCAGCATAACATGGGGGTTAAGAGTCCATTCTAGCAGTTTTCCTCCTCTAGAGCCAGAGAATTCCAGTTTCAGGAATGATCAAAACAAAAGTGGTTCAGATTTCAATAATTACACAATCTCTGAGAGCCATTGAGTTAGTACATCATGAATATGATTAACCAAAGCTAAATCCTTCACACTATATCTACATATTTAACACTGTGCAGAATCCTGTCATTTGAAACAACAGGAAACCTCTTAAATGTCACAGTTTGATTTTATGTGGTTAACAAGAATAGGGGCAGAAATTATTCAGAACTGCAAACTGGGTCATTTTTGATCAATTCCAGATCATTCTCCGATCAAGAATACCATGAGCTACATTCAGATTATATAGTAGATCATGTGTTTAGCTGAGAGAGGATCCTTGCAACTCATCCACCTCAGCTATAATCTAATCCAGGTTTCAGTGGTGAAATGAGATTTTCAATATGTTGCACCTTCCAGTCCCTTAGTTTATCTCAATTCAAAACAAGAGTGATATGTGCAACTCTGATATGTGCATGTCCTTTCGTATAATGTTGTGCATCAGCAAGATTGATGAGTGTAACCTAAATCATCATCACTTGCACTAAACAGAAATTGGATTTCTTAGAGTTTGCTAACTTGAAGCTCATTGTAATGTAGAGTAATTCAGTGGGGAACGAGAATATGTGAATGATGATACAGTTATTGAACCTAGATTGTAACACTGCAATATTGGACAGTGGAAAACATAGGAAAAGCTGATTATCAACAAAGAGTAAATATTCATAATCTTTGAGCTTCACAAACAGATTGAATAATTAGAATGCAGCTACATAAATGTTATTCCCAAAGATATCAAAGAGCAACTTTCAAACATCAAAATTTTAACCGCACTCGTGTTTGGAGTTCTCTCCCTGACTGGCAAACCTTGAGGACATTTCACTAATTTTTCTTGTTCTTAGCTGTTGGATGTGGATTTTAGAAAGTGTTTGTGCTCAACCGTGAAATGACCATAATTAGTTTTGAGCAGTTTAGATCACTGTGATGGCAAAGTCTGCCTCGGGAGACATCAGTCCCATTCCATAACACATACACAATTACTTTCTTCAGCAAACAAAACAGATAACCAGCTTCATAATGCGGTTTGTTTTTAAGTGTGCATGTTTATATACTGTATCTGTGTCGCATCGATGGTTGAGCCTTCTGTATCTACTACCCATCCCTTGGAACGCCCTCTCCCTATATCTCCATCTCTGCACCTATGGCCACCTCCCTACTCCTTCCATGCTTGGCATCCAATACTGTCTCTATGAAGCACTTCAAGACATTATCCTATGTGAAGGATCCTATGTCAGTTTATGTGTTGTGCTGTATGTGTGTGTAAATAACATATATAAAATAATAGCAAAATAATTTGCACCTTTTTTATTTTTATTTCTGCAATGTGAAATACTCAGAAGAATTTTTAATTTAACATTCATGAAATTCCAACAAAAAAAATGTAATGTATGCAATAAAGTATAATGAATGGCTGAATATTCTAGTGCTGCTCAGGAACTTAATATTTTTGTTGGCTGCCTTCATAACATAAAGGTAGTCAAAGATCTCAGTTTCTAAAAATAACAACTTGCACTTATAGTGTACCCTTCACGCATGTAGTGTCTCAGAGACTTAAAAAAATGCCAAAGCAAATAGATTTTTATTATCACAGTGGTCCACAGCATCTTGATGTTAGTGAACTAGAAATGATCTCAGTTTAGGGTGAGCTGAGCATGCGTCATACCTGATATTTGTTAAGCGTTTCAGTGGAGTAAATGAGCAACATTTAAATGGCCATTTATGTTCCATATCTACCGCTCCGCGAAAAACAATTTCATCTAATCCCTAGTCTTGTTTAAAGCTTTGTAATTTAATAATTGTGTCCTGAAGTCCTGCAATCACAATTTACATTAGGTAACTTGTTTATACCTATATTCCTTTCAGCTTTCAGAATTTCAAAGACATCAATCATGTTCCCTTTCTTTCCTTCCTTTAAAACATATTCATTTCTTTGAACCTTTCCTTAAAATTTAAGAGGGGATTCAATTTAATTTTTCATTAAATTTAATCTGTATTTAATTCTGTCTGATATAAATAGTGCATGAATAATGATGCTAACCATCAGGTGCTCAAGTTATTTAGAGTTAAGTTTAGACCAATATTTATGGGGTTGGAGGCTCCGAAGAAGAAAATGTTATAGAGCTTTGTACCTTATTTTTGTTGTACTTGAAACACAAAGGTCTCCAGTACGAAAAACTAAGCTTTTTACAGGTGACATTTTCAAAATCCAAAAGAAAGGGCACATAATC